TAGCATGCAACTTGAGTGGAAAATCAATCATGACCAAAATGCCACTTGCGGTGGTGTAATCACCCTAAAAGTTGTCCTTAAGAGTCGAGTTCCTTCAGCATAAAAGAAAATATTACTTGAAACAGCAACTACCGCCTACATCAAAAATTTCCTAACACTATTTCAACTGCCACATGTCGTCATCTCAAAAGGACATGCTAGTAAGGACTTCTTCCTGTTTCTCTTCTTTTTTCTCCCCACCGAAACTAGCATACTCTAACTTGACATGAGATGCCCATTGCTTTTTAGAAGGAAAATGCTGCTTCTTGAGTTGGTACAAGAGTGAGTTAAAAATGTCAAAAAAAATACAGTCTATCACTGCTAATATGGAAGTACATGAGAAGAACCTAAAGGTAGTTTCCATATTCGTACACTTAATCACCCATATCTCGGACGTGCAATGCAAGTTCTAGAGCTCTACCCATAAGATCTAAGTTTACCCTCTGAACTGGGAGTCACATTATGCCAAAACATCCTCAAGAACCATATAGTGGTTATAACTACCCAATTCAGATTGGAATTAAGCAATTGAAAGTATTCCTAACCATAAATTGTTGAAACAAACCAGGGGAGGAACTTGCGTACCATGAACCCAGTTATATTTTGAAGGAAGACAAGAGGTATGTTACGCTGAGAACAGAGTTCAATGAAATGGGCCCCCTTTAAAGCAGATTCATTGAAGAGGATCCCATTGTTCCCAATAATTCCCACAGGTTGCCCAAAAATCCGGCAAATCCTGTCACGAGAGTCTGAAAAGAATGGAACAAGGGCAAGCAAGTTCAGAGGCACACAGCAGGAAAAAGAAAGAGAATCCCAAAATGATTCAATTACAAAAGTATCCTCACAGTGCCGTAGAGTTTTTTGAATTCATCAAATTCGCTGTCATCTACAATGCGAGCAATAACAGATCGAATATCAAAGGCCTGCTTGTGGTCTGTTGGTGCAATAGAACGAAGCTCCTTTACATCATATAATGGCTCTTTAATCTCAGAACAGACATTTTGGAATCTAGCCAAAGTTCCCAGTTTCCCAGCAGTGTGCAAATTTTTAATGATGTTCCTTCCAAGAGCAAGACCATGCAGCTCATCTACAAAATGGGAAATAGAAAATGTAACTTATGGCAGCAAAAGAAGACACTCCAACCTTTCGTGCGCGCGCGCGCGAGAGAGAGAGAGAGAGAGAGTATTTGCTTCAATAATTCATTTGAGTAGAAAAATTCATCACAGAATACACTTTTACATATATGCTGAAGCCAATTCTAAAACAATAAAAACTCAAGTATCCATTTTGGAAAGCTTAAATTTCATGAATCGCAGGGAGAACAATATATAAGCAGAGAGCGCAAAAAGCATCGGAGAAATCACAGGAGGTACATCTGAAACAGAGTGCGCAGAAAAGATGAACTATATACCTTGTGCAAAATAATCTGAAACACCTGAAGTCTTGCAATGCACTGCCGCACCCCCTAAATCCTCTGCAGAAACTTCCTCTCCCGTAGCAGCCTACTGAAACTCCTCTTTCATAATATGTCCAGGTTTAAAACTGACATCCTCAAGCACAAAACACTAAAAAGTGCATAACGTAGACCATTTACCTACTCATGCCTAATGGTGGAAGCATAAAAATGGAAGACTTAATGCTAACACACATGAACACCCAACTTACTAAAACCTACGACTAACCTTTACAAGTGGTGGCCCAGCAAGAAATATAGTGCCATTTCCCTTGACCATTAAACTTTCGTCAGCCATGGCAGGAATATAGGCACCCCCTGCAGTGCAAGAGCCTAATACCAGTGCAATTTGAGGAATGCCTTTGGATGACATCACAGCTTGATTGTAGAATATCCTACCAAAATTATCCCTGTCAAGGAAAACATCAGCTTGCTTTGGGACGAAAGCGCCACCGCTATCAACAAGGTATACACATGGCAGTTTGCATTGGGCAGCAATCTCTTGTGCCCTGAGATGCTTCTTGACAGTGATTGGAAAATACGTTCCCCCTTTAACAGTAGGATCATTAGCCATGAACATACAAAGCTGCCCATGAACAGGACCTATTCCAGTGACTATGCCAGCGGATGGCAAGGGATCTTCATACAGTTCGTGGCCTGCAAGCTTTTCCCATAATAAGATGCAGAATAAGAAGTCGATAAATAAGACAAAAGATTGGTGTGCAAACTGAATCTCAAGAGAAGTACAAGATAAAAGAAACTTCTGATTCCCAGAATTTTTTTTCTTTCCAAACCACAGAACTAACTGCCGTTCCGACAACGGCGCGTGATCATGCAGTAGCCTAATGTGCATCTGATACAATCTCGATCTGGGGTCGGTTCCAATTGCCGCTGGTTCGATTCTGTTCAAGAAGCGGCTTGGACTAGAGTATCTAAAAGAATGCGCGCCAACAACGTATCAACTCCGTCATAAACTTTCCTCCCTTGATATGAATTCAAAACCATAGGCTCAGGATAAGCAACAGACCATCAACATTTCGCAATGACATGAATTGACTCGAAGACGAACTGACAGCCCCGATACGAAAAACCGGAAACACTGCGCGAGACCAAGAGGAAAACCAGAGTCTCCGAACCTGCGAGAGCTCGAGGAAAGAAGAGCCCGGGTCGATGAGACGATCGATCCTTTCCCGAGGGAGCAGCTTATTCCTGCTCCTGTTCCTCCTCACGGCTTCCGCTCCTCCCCCGCCGAGCACCTTTCCAACCATCAAACCACAAAACTCCTCAAACACCACAGAAAAACCACTCGAGCGCACGCGCAATCACGACGACGATACACGACTGTCGACCTCGTACCGTTTGGATACGAGACTGGAGCCGCGAGACGAGGTCCCCCATGGCTCCGGAGTTGCGGGCGTACTCGTCGGACCCGCGATCGACGCCGTCGGGAAGCACTCCCGAGCAGAACCCCCGCCGTCGCCGCCGTCCTCCTCCTCCTCGTCCTCGCGGCGGAGGCGGGACCGGATCGCGGCCGGAGGAGGCGGAAACCGCTCGCCGCGCGAGAGCCCTGAGCATTGCGATTGCCGATCGTCGTTCTCCGGATCGAGAGCCGAAGCAGATTCGTCGCTCGCGGTCGCGTATGTTGCTTGCTGTGCTCGAGGATTTTTGGCAATGGCGAGGGGATCGATTATTTTTTTATATGAGAGCGTTGGCGGAGGAGGAGCTTGAGCTTGTGTGTTCATATCCGCCCGCTCGGCTCCGCATCAGCTCGCCACGTTGGAGTTTCGTCCACACTCGACTTACTGGATAATTATTTTTGTTTTTTATTTTTTTTAATTGATTCAATTTTGCGGTTCCAAGTAGGTCTATGTTCCATTTGGAACCTAAAACTTATCATGTCGGGATCGGTTCCCACTTTTTGAAACCTGAAAGCCTATTTTATTGTCAACTTTTGTCCGTCCCGTACTGAGCCTCACGATTTTATCCTTTGGCGTACATATAGGCACCTTCGCAAGAGATCACCATCCTAGTAGTGCTTGTCAAAATGCACCTCTGTGAGCTAATTTTAGTTTTCATATATATATTCCAAAATCGCCCTCCCTATATACGATTCACATTTTTGTTTATTCCTGTCTTTTTTGCCATCCTAGAAGCGGAGCACTCCTTGTCCATGCCCTCGAGCCCCGATGATCACTCCCCATCCTCATTGAATCGGGTCGGTACACCTACGATTCCAAGAACTACCGGAGAACCGACCAACTCCTTTTTTTTTCATTTCTTTAATTTCTTCATTTTTAGTCAAGCAAAATGAAAATTAAAGTAACAACAAAAAAAAAATTTAGATGGATAGAGTTTCATCAACAAGACTACCTATCCCAAACAGAACCATTTATAAATGAAATAATCTGTCAAACCGAACAAGAAAAAGTTGTATTGTGTTGTCATGTAGAGTAAATGAAAGAGGTTGATCCAAGAGTAAACTATAGAAACACGTGTAAAAGAGTAGAGGTTTCTAAAGTGCGTAGTGTACTGAATTTCTTCTGCAATGAATATACATATTTGTTGCAGGTGGATTATAATGGGTACATATCCTCTACCAGCACTAGAGCAAGTTCAAAACTAATCCTAGTAATAGAAGACCATAACGCATAACATTAGTAATGAAAATGATGTTCTGAATTTTGAAAGTTTGATATTGCTAGTATGAAAATTGGGGAAAAGATCCATAGATACTACTAATTGGAAATAGCCACCCAAGACGTCGGCTAGCATTGCAATAGCTATTTCAGTTCTAACCATTTATTGTGGTCCGGCCAAGCAGTTTTTTGCATATGGAAAATGTAACACTAACAATGCAATACTGAAAACAACAAGCATTCGACATTTTCATAAAATATGGTAAATCTATTATATCAGATATCAATTATTGCAAATGGTGGAGGTTAGCATTGGAACTAGACCAAATTCAACCAATTTTGGGTGAGTTCCGGTTCCTAAAATTTGAAACCAGTGATTGTTAATCCGATTCTCGATTCCAGGTGTGGGTCAAATCACTCGAACTAGACAGATGTCTTATTTTTATTAGCAAGTTTAGTTACTTGATCATATATTATCACACCTTTAGAGTCTTCTTATCGAGATTTTTATTAATTAAAGATCCAAAATATTAAATAATGAGAGTTTAGACTATGAAAAGAGAATATATTATCGTCGGTTCTTGAACCCACCCGAGAAACATATCGGACCGATTAGTCGGATTTCAGAATCAGATGGGTCGGTTCCCAATTCCACAAATTGGGCATCAACCCTTTTGGTCTGATTCTCGGTTCCAAAGTGAAACCAACCCATCCTAAAACAAATCGTCCCTAGAAATTGATAGGCCCATGTTGGTCCATATGGGTCCTACTAGATGTGATAATCCAGATTTTTGTTAATACCTTCATTAAACTCAGTATTAGTTCCTTTCTTTTTTCATTTTTTATTGAGTAGTACTTACCGCTGCAAAAACTTCAGAATCAGCTCGGATGGGATACTTCCCTCTCCAAAGCGCCGGCGGATGCTCCTTCCCGCAGAGCTCGAGCTCAGCAGCCATGGAGTCTCTGTCGCCGTCCCTCCTCCCTCTGTATCCGTCTCTCAAATTCACGTCCCTTCGCAGACCCTCCTCGATCTCGACGTCTGCGCCTGCGCTGCTCTCTTCTCCGACGCTCGCGTCCGCCACGTCCCCGCGAAGAAAAGCTCCCACGCAAGCGTCGAGGGAACGCTCTGCAAGACCCTCCAGGAGGCAGACGCCGTCTCCTCCTCCGCCTCCGATTGTCTTAACGGCGGACGCCGCGGAAGCTCCTCCTCCCGTCGCGGCTAAGAAGGTCCCCTTCGAGATTTTTTTTCCCCTCCTTTTGTCTTTCCTTTCGTGTAAACTGATGGGAATACAGGGGCAAGAGAAGGAGAGGCTGTTTGACATTGAAAGTTGCAGGTTTACCGTTTCCATTTCCATTTGAAGAGGAAAGTTTAGAGAAAAATGGAGAACCCATTTGATGAATTCTCTTGTTTTGTTTGCTGTCCACGTTGTTTGTCTCGGTGAGTGGATAACAACAACAAAAGGTGAAGTTTTGAAAAGATTTTGATGATCCTCCATTATTTCCTAATATATGGAGGGAAGGGTCAATGAGGAAAATTTGAAATCTAATGTCTTTTCGAATGCATTTCCAGCAAAAAGGTGAAAAATGGTGGGCACAATTTAGATTGGTTGTGACACATATCTTTCAGGAAGATGGAAGTTTTCATTGGTTAGAAAAGATAGTTTGGTCGTCGATGTCCGCGGTCTCCTTTGGAGTGCTTATTTGGCTTTTCTTTGTTGCTAGGTCCTAATACCAATCGGATATGGCACAGAGGAAATGGAAGCTGTGGTGCTAATTGATGTGCTTCGTCGAGCTGGTGCAAGTGTGACAGTGGCTTCTGTGGAGCCACAGCTCCAGATTGAAGCCTCTGGTGGTGTTAAACTTGTCGCAGATGTCTCAATTTCAGAATGCTGTGATGAAGTTTATGATCTAGTGGCTTTGCCGGTACATTTCTTCACATTAATGTATATTTCCAAAAGTGATAGTATGATTTAGCAAGTAAGAGAATACGTGATGCATCCATATGTTGTTCTTAAGCAAGTGATTTTCCCTTAGCTTTTCTGTGATGCTATGATCAAAGTAAGCGAAAGTAGTGATAAAATCACAATGACTGAAGCTAAAACTATAAAAATGTGATCTTGCAATCAACCAAATTGCGGTTTCATGATAATGATATTTCCGCATTTATAGGGAGGAATGCCTGGTTCAGCACGGCTAAGGGATTGCGAAATCCTTCGAAAAATCATGAGCAAACAGGCTGAGGGACAGAGGTTATATGGAGCAATATGTGCTGCTCCTGCAGTCACACTTCTCCCCTGGGGACTTCTAAAAAGAAAGCAGGTGGGTTGATACGTCTTGCATTAAATTAGACATATATACACAAACTGTAACTGGTGATAACATTGTTTTTCATGCTAGACTACTTGTCACCCTGCATTCTTTGACAAGCTCCCCACTTTTTGGGCCGTTAAATCAAATATTCAAGTTTCAGGAGAGCTTACAACTAGCCGTGGTCCTGGAACTTCATTCCTTTTTGCTCTGTCCTTAGTGGAGCAGCTCTTCGGTGAGTCTGTAGCTGCAGAAGTTGGACAATCCTTGGTAAGGGCCTAGTACATATTGCGTAAGATTTAATGTTCATCCAAGACTTCATTAATGAACTACCTGAAGAATATTGTTCTTAAATTTGATGTCTTCCCTTCCTTTTTTATTTATAGCTGATGCACGAAGCCAATGATCATTCTAAAAACATAGAGTTCAACAAAGCTGAGTGGGTTGTGGACCATACTCCTCGCGTAAGTAGTATCTCTGAATTTGTATTCAAGTATTGAGCTCTCCTCTTCACCATATACCAATGTCTTGGTTTGTTTCTCATCAGTTATAGTGTCTTCTGAATTCATAGCAACCTCTTATCTTCTAAGGCTATAGGATCATATCATGTCATACTTGCCTGAAGCGGTACTATCAAAGAAAAATGAAGTACTCATTACCCGAGAGAAACGGGGAAGTAGCGGACTTCTTGTATCTATGTTTCATCTGTTGCTTATGCTTCTTCTAATTGTAAAGTCTTGGACATTCAGATCGGTTTATATCTAGATATACTTTATAACACTGTTGAAATAGATCCTCACCTAGCAATAGAGTACTTGTCATCTCACCTACCTCATAGTCTGGTGAAAAAATGTGGCATTGAACCAATCTTGGTAGTATAAGGTTAAACTTGAATTGAGTCCTTGATTGAGGTGATTATGCTAACAATCTCTATATTGCCCTCCCTCCGCCGTTTCCTCTCTAAGACATATCATAAAGAGGAAGAAAAATACATACTATTAGATATAGAAGAAAAGGTTTCCAGTAACAAAATAATGGCTAAGAAATTGGTTGACCCAGGTTTAAAGTGGGACAATGGGAACATATGGAGGCCTTGATTGCAGTTGTAGGATATGTAGTGAAGTTTGAACTTGAAAGTGCAGTGACGAAGCTAGAATTCGAATGAAGGGGGGAAGAAATGTTCAATGTACTTAACTTAAAGATTTAATTTACATTTGATATTATCACGTGTAGAAAAGAACACTCTGCAAGTATAAAAATTGAAACAACAAATAATGTTTTTGTTGTGGAATGACGTTGTCATCCGACATGAAATCAAGGGGCTGGGCTCAACTAACCCCTTGAGCTATACCACTCAAACCCAAAGAAGTTTATGTAAACGTCTTTTGGGCCTATTATGACGAGTGGCAAAGACCAGAGAGAAGGGGGGGGGGGGGGGTGTTGTTGGCGGGGTGGCAGGGGTGACAATCCCTGTTTTCCCTTCCCTGGCTCCGTGGCTGAGAAAGTGGGTTATCGGTTTATATCTGCATTTGTGAATTGAGAACGACAATGTTTTTCCTCAAGGGGTGTTATCTTACTATAGATACTTTTCGTAACCTCTAGTTTCTGGATAGCAGGAAATGAGGTTGTTCCTTTGAAAGTGAGTGCTTTTAGGCAAAACCAAAGGTTTATCCACCCGTACTAGTTGAAAAAGAGTTGGAAATGAAGTTGCGTTATCATTGCTAGATTTTGGTCAGCACGAAAAAATAGAAGGGCCCTTTTTTTTCTTCAAGGTAGCTAGCTTCACCCATTCTGACTGAGCCTATAGGATCTATTGTTGAGGGTGGGTTTGTGGGAATAAAGACTTTTTAAGTTTATAGAGACTTACACACTAAGCTTTGCTTCCACATAAACCTTAGCAATAAAAATTAGTCACAGAACCCTTCCTTTGTTTCTAATAGCTTAATCAGGTGGAATTTGTGCATGAAATTGATTGATCAAGCCATGTTACATCTACCATGTGCTCAATGGCTGTAATTAGGACGTGTTATCTTCTGTAATTTTGTGAAAAGTCTTTGATTCTTATACTTGCAAGTCTTAATAGACCCTTCGCTTTGAATAGCTTGTGCTATCAGAGACTCTCTAGCTATACTTTCGTCAGTTGAAAGAAAAGTTGCTTGTTGTCCAGTTCAATTTATGAGTTCTTTGGGACTTATTTCGGCAAAAATCACTTTCATGGGAGAAAATCTTTATTTTCACCATGCACCAGTTTTCTTTTGTCTCCCTTTTTTCCTTATTTTTCGAACGTCTTTTATTTAAGTATTGTTTACGATATATAACCCTTATTATAGAAAGGATTAATTTGTAACACTTATGACGTCTCTCTCTATTTAAACTTCAAACAGGTCCTAATTCCAATTGCAAATGGTTGTGAGGACATTGAAATGGTAACTATAGTGGACATTCTACGACGAGCCAAAGTAGATGTGGTGGTTGCTTCAGTTGAAAGAAATTTGCAGATTTTGGCATCGCAAGGCACAAAAATTGTTGCCGACAAGTTAATCGGTGAAGCTGCAGAAACAAGCTATGACTTGATCATTCTTCCAGTGAGATTTTCTTTAGGTGTTTTGCTCTTATAAGCATTATGTTTTGCAGTTGTCTAAGCGTTACTCTCACAAGAGCTCTATGATTAATAACCTCGAAAGTAAATCAAGACAACAAACTTTTGTTGCTTTATGAGCAGTAACCAAGCAAAAGCTCCAATAGAAAATTTTGGTTTCTTGAGGTGGAGGAAGGTTGTGGAGAGGTTGCCTCTATCGAGCAAGAGCTTTATGCACATCACAGCCTTGCTCCTTGTTATTTTACTGGGAAGATAGATTTTCTGCTGTTGTTAGATTATTTACTTTGATGATTCTTCTCATCATGTTTTCAGTAATATAGATATGTGAAGAGAGACCATAATAGAGTGCTCAATTTGCCTGCCTATTGAGCTTGTTAGTTGCATGCTTATTCTGTGATTCAAATTATCAAAGTTGAGTATTGTGCGAGCTTGCATGTGTGTATACAATTAATTGAAAGGGTCATTCAACGTGGAATTACAGGGAGAAACTGCTGGCTCTGACCGTTTACATAAGTCCAGAATTTTGAAAAATCTGCTAGAAGAGCAAAATTTGGCTGGAAGAGTATATGGAGCAATCTGCTCTTCGCCAGCAATCTTACACAGACAGGGGTTACTGAAGGTATTTAAAATCCTACTCAGTACCCTTTTGTCCCTTATCTCCTGTATCGGATTGCATGTAATTTCTCCAATGTGTAGGATAAGAGAGTCACTGCACATCCGTCTGTTGCAAACAACCTTGCTTGTGAAGGAATGGATGGTGCTAAAGTGGTCATTGACGGGAAGGTGATCACGAGCAGTGGACTCGCATCTGTCACAGATTTTGCACTGGCTATCATTAGCAAACTTTTCGGCCACGGAAGGGCAAGAAGTGTTGCAGAAGGCCTCGTTTTTGAGTACCCCAGAAGTTAGGGAGGTCCATGGGCTTACTCCACAGAGGTCTCAGTTTCCCGGCTCATTATCCCTCTACTAAGAGAACTATGTTTTTGCATGGACAATGCTCTAATGTGGGATTTTATGGTTCTTCAGCTGAATGGAGAGAAAAATTTTGTTTCTCCTGTATTGCAGAATCATGTGAAAGCTGCTCATTCTAGAGAATTTCATGCACTTCGCGCGGGTGCTGATTGGCAGGTAAGATATTTACTTGCACTGTATATGCTCATTTGACTTATAGTTCACATTGTTAATCTTTGTATTCAACCACTGTAAGGCTGAGGGGACTTGTTTGGTTACAGATTCTGCCATCGCCTAATGTAGATGGACTGTGGATGATTCATTTGCTCCTGATCCAATCCTATTTTCTAGATAGACTGATGAGGAAAAAGAAAGTGGGGAGATGTCAAAACAAGCTAAGTGTATCTGCAGAGCTGCTTTTACTTGGTTTATCCTATTTTTCAGCTGCAAAGGCTACGCATCTAATGGGAGATCGAAGTTGGGAGTGTCTTTTTCTCGTTTCTTTCTGCAGATGTTCTTTTTCTTTTGTTTTCTTGTTTTAGTCCGTAGTCTGATGATCCAGGTCTCTGATGAGTGCTTCTTGTACATACCCTCATTTCTGTAGAATTCGTACAGTTCGTAGACTCACCATATGTATGTTTAGATGGTCTCCTCTTTATATGAATTATCCACAGTTGAGAAATGACAAACAAATTCAGTTTTGTTTAAGCACAAGGTGATCTTTCTATTCTTTCTTTTTGGCAAGTAAATGAGCACAGGATGTTAGACTGATTTGCTCAATCAGTCAAGCTCCATAATCACTTCTGAAATGATTGTCAACACGACTATGTGAGGATTCGCGACCTAAGATCATTATGGATGGTTCAAATGCAACCCTGAGAACAATCAAAGAGTGATGATGTAAGAACATTAAACCTAAAGATGTTTTGATTCATAACCTCAGATCATCCTATGTTTACAGATTTGATGCATCAACTTCTTCAGAACTCTTTGGTGGCTAAAACACGACTGGTTGGTGCTATTCACCCCACAAATATAGCACACCAATCCAAAAGAGTTCCGCTTCCGCCTAGACATCAAACTAAGTATGGTTCACAACTTATTTACAGCCGGTCATCCCTCCTTGCCGATCTATAGATACAGCTACCTAATCTCTGCATAATCTTCTTCAAAAGAGCACGATCAGATGATAAGATGTACAACCCAACACTGGAGTTGCCCACATATCCAACGCTCCGCACTCGAACATCTAAATTCAATCTCAAGGCGGTCTACCACGGGCCTGTCAGCGTCCTCCTCAAGCAGATTCTTTTACCTCCCCATTGCCGGTTCACTCTCTCTAAGATCTGCACAAACACAAAAAGGAACCAATGAGGATCTGGCACTTTTAAATAGAGAGATCCCATAGTTGGGAAAGATATGTAGCAGACTCATATGATGTTTTTTCTATTTAAATTAGTAAATTGTACAACCGGACAATTTCTTGGAACCCAATTAACATATCGAATGTCTGTTTCATTTCTACAAGTTAAAGAGAGAGAGAGAGAGAGAGAGAGATCATTGCTTTATAGAGATTTTTATGGAGAGTTCAACTCCTCAGAAGTCGCTTTCAACTGATGGTCACTTTCAAATCACTTTACTTTTGAAGATTCTAGCGTTGGCATAAACAGTGTTCTCCAATAGAGAAGGGCTAAAGAGAAAGCAAGCAGGACAGATCCACCAAAGAATGTTCTAGATACTGGAAGGAAAATTGATTCAGATGGAATCTCTTGAGGCCGACATGATAGCAATGTATCATGTAGTGGCTCTAAGGAGCACTTGCAGGGAAAGGCATGTCGTGGGGAGCACTTGTAGTTGCCGTCACATTATCACATCGAGACAGGACAGCCAACAGAATTTGTACCGAAAAGAGTAGACCCTTTAGGTCATTTCTCTGTTTATGTACTAAATTAATGATGAAACTGGGGAGTTCAAGTTGACTATAGAGATTGAACGCACCTGGCTCTTTTGCGTTTCCATCAACTCCTCCTGCATCAGTACACCCCAAGAGAACAAAAAACGAATGAATTAAGGACACATTGAAAAAATCAAACTTCTTCAGTATGGCAGCAACATTAGTAACTTGATCAGGTACCTGTTTCCTCTGTAATTCCTGATTAAGTTCTTTAAGTTTTTGAACTTCAGCTTCAAGTTCCAAAGTATAAGCCTGCAAGTATTCCATACCCAATAAGATGACGTATCCAATTTTTCCAAGTAAAAACTATCTAAATTTCGAAACTGCCACTGCCAGGCATCAATTCCTCGACCCTATCTGGAAAACAATGTTCAACTCAAGCCTCTACATTCTCAAGTGGTCCTCCGCTTCAACACTGCTTTAGCAGATGCACAGTTGGTTCTGTTGACATTATATTGCCTCGACTTTATCAGGTTTTGTACCTTCGTTATTTCCACTATGTAGCTAACTAGTGACCTCCAGGATAACACAAGCTTACAAGGGGCAACTCAGTGTTACAATATTTCGGTGACCATAGCACAAACAAACACCATGATTTAAAAAATAAATAAATTCACAGCACATTAGTGGGTAACAAGACTCCTTCAAGAGTTGCTTTCAGTTTATTCAGAAATCAAACTTTATCTACCATTTTTCATGAGCAACTGAGTTATTTGATGACATGAAATAACAGCCATCAAGAACCAACTTGATATCAAAGAAAATTGCATATGAAAAAAAAATCCACTACTTTAGTTTCAGGTACCATGGGAAAACAATACATTAACAACAAGAACGAGCAGCAGAAAAAGAGTTTTCGCAGCAGTGTACTGACCTGCTTTCGAGCTCGAGACCGAGCAGCTGACTCTCTGTTCTTTATCATTCTCCTCTGCCTTCTCTCGACGACTTTCTCCAGAGCACTGCCAGATTTTCTTCCCCGGGCGAATGGATAAGGTACGGGTGAGAGTGAAGACGAATCCACCGTGTTCTTAGAAATTACATCCGGAGATATATGGTTAGCAGGAGATACTGTCTGAAAAGCAACTCCCCTAGTCTCTAACCCAGTCATGCCAACACTGGTCTGCAGCCCGCCACCCTGAACTAAGGAACTTTTAATGGATGCATCTGTCATCCCGACTGCCCCTCTTGACCCTAAACCAGGCAACTGGGAATTATTTGCTATACTTATGGAAGAGGCAAAAGGTATAGTCGCTGGCTTGGGCAGGAGGGGCAGATCATGCTGTTGCTGGAGCTGCTGCTGGTTGGATCTAATACTGCCGACATTGAATGCTAAATTATGAGGCTGACCACGTATTGACTTACTGTTCTCGGCAACCTGATTCACAACAAATCCATTGTTCTGGCTCGGATGTTGAAAGTTTAGACCCAAACCAGTACTATTACTAAGCAGCGGAAAATCACCAACAAACCCACTGTTGTTGGGTATTCCCACTTGTTGAGCATCTTCTCTTACAACTCCTGCTCTCAGTAAGAACTCCTCCAAGGTCATCTCTCTAAGAGTAGGTTGCTTCTGCGGCATATTGAATCCTCCACCCTTGTTCCCATCCTTAGCAACCGTACTCTCTTTGAGCAGGTCTTTCCAAACTTCATCAACTGTTTTTTGACTAAGAGTTCGTGGCAGCGTCAACGACCCTTGTCTCTGTATATTACCCTCTGGAAGGCTTCCATCCCCTGCACCCGTGGAAGACGTCATTGCCTGAGTCTCTTCAGCCGTCCAAATATTTTTCAGAAGTTCATCCATGTTCATCGACCCAAAATCCTTTCCAAGCCCACCCCATGTGTTTTGAAACTCATCAAAAGTCAAAGAGTATACTGATGGCTGCCGAGTTAAAGAGTGATTTCCGTGTGGTTTCCCAGCTAATCCTTCAGCAGGCGATGCATCAGCTATGCCTTTGAAATTATATTGAGAAGCCATCTTTCTCCAAAAGATTGGTCACAAGAAGTATCCTTCTCAACACCCTAATTATAGTCCCCTCTCTTCAGATTTCTAGACTTCAATGTCCATCAAATCAAGTGTAAATGAGTATGAGTATGGAAGAATATAGAAGACCAAATTATAGTTCAACTTGTATGAAGAACAAATAACTCACATCCCAATAGATCCCCGAGTAAAATTAAAACAATAGAAATTTTGCATGTATATCTGCACTGGTGAGAACCCGTTTATGGAAACAGTTATTACTCTGAATAAAGGCAAACTTGAAGCGTCTCACAGGTAAAACTAACGCAAATCCAGCTGTTTGCAAAGCAGAGCTGCATACATTTCTTGCTCAAGTAATTAAGTTACTACAATTTCTTGTTTAAAGCATTTACAATCATGGAAGATTTTTTCAAACTCATCACATTAACGCCAGCAATTTATGCCTTGAATTGGCATTTGAAAATAGATGTGTGTTACAAGAATATGCTAACAACACAATATTTCGCAGTTGGTTTAACCTTATAATACACGTAAAAGAAATTAATTATGGCCATAGCCTTAGTTTAGATACTCAGGGCAATCTTTCACCTAAATCAACTAATAGATGAAAAGCATCATTTCGAGTCAGACGGAGAATCCCTGGGAAGGTCATCATCGCATACAATGAGAGACATAATGACCTACAAACCAGATTGGTGCAGGATGTGAACTGGTTCAGTAGATCGATCTCCGGACTGTCATGAACCCCCAGCCATTACAGCCCAACCGCAAGGAGGAATAAATAGTGTTGAAGCGTAATTAGACACATGGGGATTCCGTTAGCAAAGTGCAAGCGTTTCTGACATAATAACTCCTCCAAGTTCTTGCGAAAATGAATTAATCCAATCTTCCATAGCCCTAGTTTGTGATTAATCGGCTTCCATGATTCACAGGTTCGACCGCTCTCATACCAATTAGTAACGAACTAAAAAAATTCTACAGTAAGATGAGAAGAGAATTGGTCACTCGTAACTTGATTTTCCTAAATAACTAAGATGCTTTGCTAATTAAACATCCACTACATATTCCTTCTTGGGCATGGGCTCTACTGGCTTGTGTCATGACACAGACGAAGTTTCAGACAAAGGACATGGAATTCTTGTGGGTTTAGCTTCTGCAGTAACAGGTCCTGCATATTCAGGGATCCTGGCAGTGTACTGGATCTGCAGAAACTTATCTGACCAAAACTGTTAACTTCAAATTCCTGAACTGAGGCCAACTAATCTTAATCTCATCAAAAAATGAAAAGCAAGAAGTTTCCGGATTGAAAATAGACAAAAGGGCATCTCTGAAGAATCGGCACTGACATGACATCCGACAAAGCATCCAGAAGATGCAGATCAGAAGAGAATAATAACTTTTTTTCTAAGATCATAAGGGAAAGAATAGCAGCTTTTCGCACAAGTTGAGGAACGACCCATGGGATTGAACTGACCACAACATTTCAATCTCAAAACCGACCAACATCGCGATCGGCCACCCGGCGAAAGCCCCAAAAACGACCTCTCGCGAAGCGTGACGAACGACGCACTCCTCCCTCTCTCTCTCTCTCTCTCTCTCTCTCTCTCTCTCTCTTCAGAAAACAGAGCATCATCCCAACCTCCCAACTTCACGGCCAAACCGCAACGCCAACGCGAACCCAGAAACCAAAGATCGCCAGACGACTGCTAAAAGTTCCAATCGAGCTCAAATTCAAAAGGGAACGACAAACCCAACAACTCGAAAAGACGTATACAAGAGTCAATCGCTCAACCGCCGAGAACCCACGTGAGAACCAAAAAGGCCAAAAAAAAAACAAACGAAAGCAGAAAGCAACCAGTCAAAAACCGCGAACCCAAAAGCGACGAGAAGAGAGAAATTTAGGAAAAAAGCCCCAACAAAATACGTATAACCCGCGAACCCAAGTACGAAAATACGCACGCAAAACCAACCGCAAGCGCAAACAACGCTCAAAATGATGGCCAAAATACCTTCTTTTACGGAAATATATGCGGGCGAAAAGAGACGAAGCGGAGCAGCGTCGTCGTGGCGACACCGCGGAAGGGACAACAGAGAGAGAAAGCTGGCCAAAAGCAACGGTCGTCGGTGCGGTGGTCTCGACAAGTGGCTGCTGCTGCTGCGAGACGCGGAAGCGCCACCCCCATTTAAGGAGCTTCGGCCACGCATCCGGTCGCATCTTGTTCTCTCCTCCTCCTCCCCCTTTTTTCCTTTTTATTTTTTTTGTTCGGTTGTTGACGTGATATTGCTATTTTAATTGATCCTGAAGGAGGAGGGGGCGGGCGGGGGGAAGGAGGATCGGGCCGCGGAGATCGCGCGACGTGGACCAATGGGGGCAGGCCGAGCCCCGACGCGACGGCGGGCCAATGGGGGCGCGCGACGTGGGGGTGCGGAGGGCCGTCGGATGATCTCTTTCCGACAAGCGGTTGGACGGCGACGAGTGGGGGTAGGGAGTGTCCCCTTTTTTTTATCTCTTCTCTGTTTTTGTCGGGTTGCGCGGGGGAACGGGGAGTGGTGCGCGTGCGCACGACATGAGATTTAGACCACCAATCCTTCTTCTTCTTCTTCTTTTTTTTTCTTCTTTCTTTTTTTCTCCTTCTTCTTCTTCTTGCTTGTTTTGGACTTTTTCCTCCTTTTCACGATTTTCCTGAAATGGAAAATACGTAGATCTCACTCAAGCCCGCCTCTTCTTTCCTCCTTCTTTTGCAGCTTCTCAACATTTTTATTGTGCCTCGCCTCCTGCATTTAAAGGATTTTTGATTTTTTACATGTCGAGTGCGGCCTCGGCTCCCGGTTCGGGGCTCGGTTCGGTTTGGAACCGACTCGAGATCGGAGCCCGAGGAAGTCTGGAGCGGGCGGAATGGTCTGGAGTTTGCGAGGCGGGCGAGGCGGATGTCCTGTTATTTGGAAGTTCTTGGATGCCCCGGAAATTTGGAGGATATGGAGCTAAGGATATAAGTAAGCACGACGTTCTTGTCCAATTGGAGAGATCGAACGTCCGGCCGAGACTGGTCGGACTCCGATTTGTAGCGGCATGAGGACGGACATCCGGCCACCACTTTGGTCGGATGCTCAAACGCATACGGAAACGACTCTTTAACAGAGCTGTCGACGTGTCGCTCACAAGTTCCAACCCGACTCATGAGAGAGCTCTGGAGTCACCAAAGAGTGTAAGTATGTGAGGCAAACGCTTTGTATATCTTCGATAGAAATTTTCAAGACTTTTTGTAGAGTTTGGAAAAACATTTGGAAGTTATGTGTTTCGAGTGATTGAAATCTCCTCACGTTGATTCAGTGGAATATTTCGTTGATCTCACCTCGTGAAATAAGCACGCATGGCCGAACCACATATGTGACACCCCAAAGCTCACACATTTCCTTTTAATTAATTAAATTCTTTTAGATTTATAGGGACAAATGAAAATAATATGCGGACAACCTGTCTCACAATAGCGAAAACAAATTTTCGAGAGAAATTACATCTTATCTCCTTGAACTTTTAAAGTTGGTGCGCTCGCGACACTAGTGATTAAAAAATATCATTTTTTTTGGTGTAAAAAAAAACCATCATTTTACTATCATCAATTTAGAATTTTTTTGCAACAGCTTCTGTTATAGCCAAAGTCCGAAAAATGTCATTTTTTTGTCTTGAAAGTAAATCACTTTTCTGGCGATATCTGCCACAGGAACTGTTACGTACTATTGCGGTTTGACTGAAAAACTAGCTTTCTCGAAGTGCCATGGAAGATTTCGGGGCGCCTAAGTTGGTTAGGTCTAAGGGACCATGTCCATTAATGCGATAAGGGGCATAATGAGGTAATCGCGAAAGACGGATCTTATCGCTAGAGATCTAGAAGAAATAAAGGGGTGAGTTAGAGCCCGATAAATGAAATCTCCAGGTGTAAGATAAGAGATCGTCTCCCCACTTGACGCAGTATCGAAACATAACAACATGAATTCAAGACGAATTGCAAATTGTATATGTATATCCGATAATATGAGTAGATTTACCATAATATGCGAATGGAAATTATTTGTTGATGTGCCATAAAATTATTCATTTAGATGTAACCGGATGACATATCATTTCATGATGCAAAAATATCTCGTAGTACAAAACCAGTATACACATGTGAACATCTATCCGTAGTTGTCACTAGTAATGACTTATCTCGACTAACAAGTCATTATCACAACCTAACTCATGGAGAATAGAATCATAAACTCATCTGGCCATAATTCAGCCCATCCATAAAGGGTGTCATCTACACCGACGTCAATAAAAACACCACTATACAGTTGCATGATAACGATTTTTACATACTTATTTTCTTTTATTCCCTCTATTTCTGTTACTTGGACCTCATGTCTATAATATCACATAGCAGGCTACTCAAGCCACGTCATCTTATGTGCAAGTTATGGGACCCGTCTTTGAAGGAAGAACAGTTGTCTTTCGAGAAAAGTACCAAAAAATTCTTAGACCTATTGTATTGGTACAAATTCAGTCATAAACTTTTCAATTAGACCAATTTAGTCATGAGAATTTTCATATTGATATCAATTCAGTCCATTTAGCCAATTTAGGCCGAAAATTGCTGACGTAAACGCCGGCAGTTCTACATGGCACAGCCGGCGTTGATGTGTACATTTTCAATAATTTTTCCTTTTGTTTTCTTTCCCTTTTCTTGTAGCCGATTGCCATCCATGGGCCATAGGCCATGGCTAGCGAGGGCGAGTGCTGGTGATGCCGGAAAAAAAAAAAGAAGAAGAAAAATTATAAAAATAAAAAAATTATTAAATATATCCACGTCAGCGTCAACCGTGCCACGTAGGACCGCCGACATCCACGTCAATGATTTCTTGCCTAAATTGGCCGGATGGATTGAATTGATATCAATATAAAAATGTTTAAGACTAAATTGGTCCAATTAAAAGGTTTAGGACCGAATTAGTATCAAAACCAATGCAATAGGTTTGGGACTTTTCCTTTTTTTTTTTCTAGAGTTTTCTACATATATTCATACCAGGGAGTTTGCTTTCCGACGAATAGGTCGTAGCATAGATATCGAATGTCCTCATCACTCACATGCAACTCATCAACATAGCAATTCCCATGTACATTTATATCATTTATATGATAACGGTGCAAATATAACACTCGCATCTTTTGGCATTTCTCATATGAACGGTGGCAACCAGATACTTAATGATTTTAGAATTTCGCATCAAGTCCATAATATCACATAGCAGGCTACTCAAGCCACATCATCTCAAGTGCAGATTATGGGACCTCGTGTCCACTCAACCATGTAGAGATCCCGTCTTAGAAGGTAAAACGCGTGTCCTTTTCCCAAGTTTTATCCATATATACTCATGCTGTGGAGTTTGCTTTTTGATGAATAGGTCATGGTATAGATATCGAATGCGCGACATTGCTCACATGCAAATCATCGACGTAACAATTGCCATGTGCGTTTATATCATAACAGTGCAAATAATATCACATTAATCTTTTGGCATTTCCCATATAAACAGTGGCAACCAAATAATTACATATTATAAAAATGTATAACCGTCACATCCCCTTTTTATCATGCCAACATCATTTAATAAACAACTTATACAATTTCATGCATCACCCAAATAACATCAACTTTTTTTTTTTGATAGACTAGGTTACTTAGTAATCAAAATTTACCAAAAGGACTCGCTCATATTCCGCTAAAATAAAAGCAAGGTGCCTCACTTCATTTGATGTTATAAGAATAAATTACGTATCATGCTCCTTGATTCCTATTTCAAATCAAATGACTCTCTCTACTTAGTTGAAATTAGGCATTATTTTAGCTAACTTTTATAATATCATTACCGAGACCACATCATGATTAATATCATAGAAAAAATTACAACTATTTATCTATAATTTCATATTTCTAGGATATCATAACTGCCCCTACAAAGTTCTTCATTTTACAAATGTATTCTTAAGTATCACTCTTTTTGTAATCTAGCTATACTAATCAATTTAATTAGCTAAGGCCATTCATTTGCTATCTAATCCATAGGAATGTTTAATTTACACTAGAATCACGCCTCATATTTTATAAAGACCAAATCAACCCACTTTTGATTTAGCTATGCAATCAAGCCTAAATTTTGACTAGTCAGGTCAGTTGAGTAGATTAAGCAATCGATTTTAAAAACTAACCTAATCATTATTACCTTGAAGGTTTCTTATCACGGCGGCTCCTATAATTTCCAGCTATAGCATATTAGTCCCCTTAGCACTGTGAAACTACTAATTCGCCCATAAAGTTTAATCTAGTTATTCTAAACCATTTTGATTTCCTTTAATTAATCTAACTCAATAACCCGCTAATTTACGCTTAACATAAAACAAGATTGCCCAGAGAGCCATTTTACTTCAATAATTTTAACAAATTTGCCCCTATACATCTCAAGAATCACTAAAATGCCACTATTAGGCGTCTTTTTACGATTTCACACTTTTTCCATCCAAGTGCAATGTAATCTTTTTGGCAATCATTCAAACATGTAGAAAAAATTTCAAATCAAGCGAAGAGATCCCAATACCTCAATATAAAAAGATGTAAATTCATTCATGAAATTCTTATAAACTTAACATCAAACCTAAACCTAAATGAGCGAGCATCAAATAATCAAGTTTTTTTTTGGTCGAAAAAATAATCTAAGTTCAAGAGTGCCAAGTATATCAATCTAGTTTAGCCTCTAGAGTTTTCATTTATCTTTAATGAAAGAATTGGAACTAATCAAAGCCTTAAATGTCTTGAAATCAAGAACAAATTATAATAAAAGTTAACTATATATCTTTCAAAGCATAACTTGGTCAATAAAATTGAAAACCATGAAAGTTTTACCTTATAAGACAGTGGATAGGTAAAAACAAAAGGTTAGACAACTCAAATCAAAGTGAAAATTAGAGCTTGGTTGCAAATAAAATGTGAATTGGAAATTTTTTTTTATCGCAAGGGAATGGAAAATAGACAGTTGATTTGAGAACTCAAACCTTGAAAGTTTTACCTTATACTAAAGTTGATAGGTAATAACAAAAGCTTAGACAACTCAAATCAAAGTGAACATTAGAGCCCGGTTGCAAATAAAACGTGAGTTGGAAATTTTTTAATCGCATGGGAATTAAATATAGAAAATTCTGAAGATAAAGATGTGTAGAGGGAGGTAGTACTCAGCCAAGTGAAGAAAGATGGGAATGAATTCTTTCTCATTTTGCACCTTTAAAGAACAATCAAACCATGTTAAGAAAACATGTCATGGATGATGTCATCTACTAGTTAAATTTTATGGTGAAAATTATGAAGAAGTACGAAAATAATTGAGTGACAAATGAAAGGTTTTCAATAAAGAAAAAGAGCTCATAAATGGTAATATATGGGAGATATTTTATATTTTGGTAAATAATCAGGGAACTTGCCGTCCATTCTAAGCACTATGAAACCACTAAACTATTAGCTAGGGTTTTACAATTAGAGAAATCTTAACTCAGTAGATTTTAATTTTGAGAATTACCCATAGTATTTGGTGGTGTACCGATCTCCCTCAATGAATAGCATTCTAATACATTTTTCCTTGTCACTCTCTATAATCAACTTAAATACAACTTTAAGCAAACAAGAAATTGGTAACCTCATATTTCCAACTCATCGTAAGCTTCATAATACTCGATGAAGTCTCATTTTGGAAGACTTTGGAAATGCAAAGCATTTTTCGAATATTTCGAACATCACAAATTTATTGATCCAATCGAAATTTCTCCAGTGCAGTCCAAAATCCAAATCGACCATTTATTATCTTAATAGTCTAAATACCACTAGTAGATAGAGAATTTAGAATGCTACAACATAAATGCTTCATATCGGGTTTATTTTCCGCACTTATTTCTCGCTTAATTGTTTGGGTTTGTTCCACGCTTCCGCCATTTTGTATAACATTATATCCTTGAGCATAACCCCATGACTGAAAAGACTAAATTGCTCTATTTTGAAAAACCCCCCATTTTGCATAACATTATATCCTTGAACATAACCCCATGACTGAAGACGGCGAAAAAACAACAACCGGTGTCTTTCTCTATCATTTGTGTTGTTCTCTCTACCTTTTGTGTAGCTATGGCTTCCTCTCACCCCTCTCCACATCCAAAACGCTAACCTAAACCCCACCATTGATTCCCATTACACCACCCTAGAAAACCCTGTGATCGTGAGTGAACCTTGGTACCCACCCCCTTCTCGATTCTCCACTCCACTCCACAATGTAACCTAGCTTTCTCCCCCTCCCAACTTCTCTGTGCGCACACCTCCTCATGGCTCGTCTAACCACCCAACCAGACTGAAAGATCGATTCTCATCCATTGTCGCAGCTCCAGTTGAAATTTCTGTTGTCCTCTCTTTCTTGCATCTTCGGCGTCTCCCACGTTCTCGGCTCTGTGCTAATGGTGCTGCAAGTTTAGTACCTCTGGTTGCCCTACGTTTCTGGAAAATCCTCAAGGTAGAGCTCACACCCGTGGATGAAGACAGTGGTGCCTCTGAACAATTGGAAACTCTTTGCAATAAACTGGGTAAGTTGTTGCATAAACAAGACATTACTATTTGGGATGATGATATTTCAGAGGAAAAAAATTCTCGAGTGTCAGTTTACCCTTGTGGGACATCTTTTCCAAAGCCCTAGCATCAATTTTCAAGCTTTTTCAGATAGCCATGAGAAAGGCGTGGAGAAATGAAAACGTAGTCGTGAAACCTTTAGAGAATGGCATTTACTCTTTTACCTTCAGCAAAGAAGAGGAACAAAACAAGAGTGCTTAATGGGGGCCCATGGTCTTTCTCGAATAACTTACTAATGTTAAAGACTTGGGCACTTGATAAACCACTGCATTGCTATGAGTTCAACAAATGTGCTTTCTGGGTTAGAATTTTCGGCCTTCCTCTTGAATGGAAGTTTGAAGTTGTGGTGACAAAAATCGCGAGTACGGCAGGGCTAGTGTTGGAAGTGAATTTTGAAGACAAAGGACCGGCAATCCAACGTGTTGGGCAAGCAAAGGTAGAGCTAGATATGTATGCTAAGCTGCAAGTGGGATAGTCGGCCACACACGGGGGTAGGAAGATTTGGCTAGATTTTAAATATGAATAGCTCCCATTCTTTTGCTACTTATGTGGAAAGGTGGGGCATTATGCGAGTTACCGTAAAGAGGTACCCTATGATGAAGAAAAGTTCACATCAAAGATGAGAAGCTGTTATGGGAATTGGATGCGAGCATAAGTTCAAGATCACAGCCCCTTTTGGGATGTATTCTATGAGAAAAAAACCAAAGAATATAATGAAGAAGTGGAGGAGATCATCCCTGAAACACAAGAACAACAAAGACAGATAGTTGTGGCGGAGGAGGCTAGACCAAGCACCTTTGTTTGCCCGAGAACTTCACAGAAAAGGGGATCTGAGTTTCTGCAAATTAAATTTCCAAGCAGGAATTCAATTGAAAGCGAGAAACTAGTTGCTGGGAAGGATATTGTGATGCTCCCAGCATTCTCCAAGGGACAAAAATCCTCAAATAACAAGAAAAAGGGAAGCAAGGAACCAAAAACCCCTTCACTCAAAAAGCAAAAAAGGTACAGTCCCTATACTTCTGACTCCTTAACTCTTGGGTGGCTGGATGAGACCCAACTTCTGGATACTCCAATCTAGATGACTAAAGATACTATTGGATGGGCTTTGGTGGCTAGTCCTAATAAGCCACCAAAGGAATTATGAATTTTCTGTGCTGGAACTGTCAAGGATTGGGCACACCCTTGACAGTCCTAGAATTAAGAGCCCTTGTGGCTTGACTCAGGCCTGCTGTGGTTTTTTTATGGAAACTAAAAACCAAGAGTTGGTTCTTTAGAGAATAAGGAGGATACTACAATTTCAGAATTGTAGGGTCGTTAACCCGGTAAGAACTGCTGGTGGTTTGGCTATCTTGTGGGATGATAGAGTTGAACTCACTTTCGATTCGCAAACAAAGAGTTATATGAATCTCTGGTGCAAAGACTTATCGAGTGGCAAGAGGATGAGAGTCACTTTTGTTCATGCTCGTTATCATTTTCAAAAAAGATGTGAACTGTGGGAGGAACTCCGTGTTATGAGCTTATCAAATTCATTGCCCTGGGTTTGTCTAGGAGATTTTAACGAAGTACTGTTCTATTGGGAAAAAGTGGGGAAGTGTTTGGTTGAAATTTCTTGTATGACAGAATTCCAGGGTTTTCTGAATGCTTGCCTGTTAATGGACATGGAAAGCAAAGGATGCACCTTCACTTGGTCGAATACCAGAGATGGAGTGGAAAACATCAAAGAACATCTTGACAGGGTGTTATGCAACATAGAATGGAGGATTTTATTCCCTCAAGCAGAAGCTTTTGCCCTCCCGGCAATAGGATCTGACCATAGCCCCTATAGTTCTATCTCTTCAAGGCAATCATGAGAAACGTAAAAAAGAGTTCAAATTTGAAGCTTTTTGGCTTGAAAATAACCAATGTAAGGAAATTATAAAGGAAGTTTGGGATTCCCCCCTCTAGGCTAAAAAGAACTTAACAGGGAAACTGCGGGCTGTGACTTTTGCACTGACAAAGTAGAGTAAGAAGACATTCGGGAATGGATAGAAAAGAATATGTTCACTGAAACAAGAGCTCCAGCAATACATGAACAGAAGTGATAGTCCTTTCGATAGAGAAAAGGTTAAGAAACTGCAGGGAGAAATTGAGACACTGTGGAGACAGGAAGAGATGTATTGGGAGCTAGATCAAGGATAAAGTGGTTGAAATGGGGTGATAAAAATACTAAATTTTTCCATGCGACAACAATTCCACGAAGACCTTTACAAAAAAAAAACAATTCCACGAAGACAAAGAAACAGAATCTCGATGATTAAAACTTCGGACGACACTTGGATTTCAGAACCAGGGCTGATTAAACAAGCTACAATGATGTTTTCAAAGAGTTGTACCAATCTAAGGGCCAACGAAACTTCTCCCTAGTTCTAGAACAATGCCCCAGGGCTGTTACTAAGGATATGAAGCACTCATTGCTAGCTGATTTGAGTATGGAGGAAGTTAAAAATGCTACTTTTCAACTGGGGGCGGCGAAAGCACCGGGGCTAGATGTTTGAATGGCCTCTTTTATCAACAGAACTGGGAAGTATTAAAAACAGATATTTTTATGGAGGTAAAAGAATTTTTCAGAAATGGAACAATATTGCCAAACCTCAACAGGATCCTAATTTCCCTGATTCCGACGGTTCCCAACCCTGAGAAACTTGATCAATATCGACCCATCAGTTTGTGCAACTTTGGATAATTGCTAAAGTGTTGGCAAATAGACTCAAACCGCTGTTGCCAGCAATCATAGCTAGAGAACAAAGTGCATTTGTGGGAGGAAGACAAATTCAGGATAACATATTTGTGGTGCAGGAGGTGTTACACCAAATCAGAATTCGGAAGAGGAGGAAAAAATTTCAGGCCATTTTGAAGCTAGATAAGAAAAAAGCTTATGACTGAGTGGAATGGGATTTCTTGGAGGCTTGCCTGATTAAAATGGGTTTTGATGAGCGATGGGTGGGCTAGATAATGCAATGCGTCACCACTGTACCCTTCAATGTTAAAGTGAATGGGGAGCACCTTCCTTATTTTCAACCTTCCCGTGGAATTAGGCAAGGGGACACTCTCGCCCGCTACCTATTTATCCTAGTAGCCAATGTTTTAACATCGCTCATGAGGAAGACGGTGGATGAAGAAAGTATAAGGGGAATCAAACTGAATAGATGGTGCCCCACTCTCTCCCACCTACTCTTCACAGATGATTTGATCTTTTTTTTGGATGGGAAAATTCTGAAATGTCAGAACTTGGCCTCAATCCTGCACCAATACTGTATGGCTGCTGGACAACAGATAAATTTGAACAAATCTGGGATATTCTTCAGTGAGGACTGCCAACAAATATCAAAAGAAAACATGGCAAGCGAATTGAGAGTGCCTATCATAGAGAAGACAGGGAAGTACCTTGAGATCCCTTCGAATTGGGGAACATAAAAAAAACAAATGTTTGCATGGATAATTGGACGAGTCAACGCTAAACTAGAAAGATGGAAGGAAAAATTAATGTCCAAAGCAGGGAAAGAAATTTTGATTAAAACGGTGGTGCAAGCGCTACCATAATATGCCATGTCTGTTTTCAAAATCCCAGTTTCAGTGTGTAAGGCAATTGAACAGAAAATAGCACAATTTTGGTGGAAGACTAATGAGAAAAAAGCTGGCATTCACTAGAAAAGGTGGGAGTTGTTGAAGACAAGAAAGGACAAAGGGGGGTTGGGATTCCGGGACCTGCTCGACTTTAACAAAGTATTGTTGGCTAAACAAGCCTGGAGATTAAGCAACAACCTAAACTTTTTGTGGGGTAAACTTTTCAAAGGTCTCTACTTTCCACATAGAGACTTTTGGTTTGCAGAAAAGGGACAACACCTGTCTTGGGGCTGGCAAAGCTTGATGATGGGAAGAGATTCAATCTTACCATCAGTTATGTGGGTAGTAGAAAATGGGACAAGAATAAGAACTAGAGAAGACAAGTGGCTGAAGAAAGGAGTGCTAATTGGCCCAGCCAACATTAACGAACCTCAGTTTGTATCAGGGCTAATAGAAAGGGAGGAGGGGAGATGGAATGAAAATGTACTGTGGGAGCTTTTTGATGAGCAAACATTATGTGAAATATTGGTAATACAAATCATACCCTAAACAGAAACAGACCAATTTGTGTGGACAGGTGCACGAATAGGGCAGTATACAGTAAAGAGCAGTTATCACTACATCCGAGAATCAACCAGCAAGCAACAAGAGTAGCAAGCCTCAACATCTTACCACCAACCTAACACCCTATGGACAGAAATTTGGAAGCTCAAAGTCCCTCCAAAAGCTAAGTTTTTTTATGTGGAACATATGCCAGAATGCACTCCCAACGAAGGAAAATTTGTATCGAAGAAGGATTGTATCTGACCCATTATGCCCCCTGTGCAATTTGAACAGTGAGACGGCAGAGCACCTATGCCTCCTTTGTCCTTGGACCAGGGTAGTGTGGGCAAATCCAGAGGTGAATCTGCAAATTTCGAATCATGGATATCTTGAATCGAAGAATGGATCAGCAATCTATTGAAGCATAAGAACAACCTACCAGATCTAGCCATGGTTGCTTTCGGTGCTCTAGTGTGTTTGGAAAGCCAAAAATGCATCCATCTTCAGAGACCAACCCCAAGACATGAGCGATGTTGTCGAAACAGCCCTCACCACACTCAGAAGCTTCCAAAAATGGAGCCTTTCAGTGAGCAAACTTGGAATCAAAGAAGGAAATGCCTCAGGTTGCTGGAAACCTCCTACAACTTGCACCTTTAAGGTTAACATCGATGGGGCTTTTGTACCTAGGACGATGGAGGGGTCAATCGCGTGGGTATGTCGTGCTTTCGTTGGTCGTTTGCTGCATGGAGCTGCGAAAACGGTTACCGCGGCGTCGCCTCTCTTGGTCAAAGCCCTTGCCTTAGAGGATGCTCTCAATTACGTTCTCTCTCCTCAAAATGAAGAGAATGGCTTTTCCCCTCCCTTGCATGATGCGATTGAAGTGGAGATTGATTGCTTGGTCTTGGTCAATGCTCTCACGTGCCCTCACCAACTCACTTGGGAAGTCCATGTGCCAATTGGAAAATACAAAGAAATTCTGCTCACTCTCTCGAAAGTCCATGTTTTGTATTGCCCTAGAGAGGCCAACTTAGTCGCCGACTGGGTAGCTAAAATCCACCGGAAAAATACCTTACCTTCGAATTGGGTTTCCTCCCCTCCCCTAGCTCTTTGGGAGTTATTATGTAATGATGCCATCTCTCGGGCCTTTCCAACTTTGAACAAGGATAATGAGAAGTTCCTTTTCTGACCCAAAAAAAAAAAAACGCACGACTGAAAAGACTAAATTGCTCTATTTTGAAAAACCCCAATAACTTGAATCCCTCGCAGCCCCATGATAGCAACCACCCACAAACCCTAATCTTTTTCATCACCCACCATCACCTGCTACCACCATTCGCCTATGAGTTTCCTCATTTTTACTTTGAATTAAATTCACTTATTAAGTTAAGTGGAGCCTTAAGTAAAATTATTTTTATTCAATTTATTTACATTTTTGTATTTGTAGCTAATAATTAGGTAGTTTATCGGAATCAAAGTAAAAATTCTAAACATAAATTTCTTTTTCCTTTGGTAACATAGTCATAATATTTAATTGTAAATTGTATAAAGAATTGTTTGGATAGAAACTAGTGGGCGCTCTAATGAATCAATCCTAGTGGTTGAGCCCCACCCCTTTAGGGTACCGTAGGGCCCTTATGTGTCTTGAACTTATACTCAATGGGGCTAATATAAATTTTGTAACTTTTTCAGACTTTTTTATATCGATATTACAGATTATTAATTAGGAAACCTCTACCTCTATCAATGAGATAAAAAAATAATTCCTTCTTCGAAATTAAGTTCCCCACTCTCCCGCCGTTGCACTTGGATTTTTGCTCAGAGGACAGAAGGACATCATAGAAGGGAGAGAGGGAGAGGCTAAAGATGGTATGTGTCGGGAAGAACAGCTAGGCTAAGATTTAAAAAGTAGGTCTAAGTGATTAGGTAAAGAAAAGTGGCAAGGGAATATCAGATAAGTAAGGTTGGATTTCATAAATAAACCATATGATTGGTTGTTGTGATATGTGATCTGATGTCTAAATATAAAAACGAGAGATAAGAATTTTTTTTAGAAAAAATAAAACATGCAAAGTGGCATTAAGTTGATACTTGTTGAAATTTCCTTACAACTTGGGCCGGGGATCCCGATGTAGTGCACACCGAAAGAAATTGAGAAATTTCACCATCATGGCTAATATTTTTTCCTTGAAGGAGTCACCCTCATTGTGTGCTAATTCAACCGCCATAATATATAAATACAGAACGATGCAGTAGGCCGACACTTCCACTATGAGTGATGGAGTAAAGCGTGAGTTCATCTATCTCCTTGCATGCTTTCTTTGATGTTATGTACATAAAAATCCATCTCATTCTTACGTCTAGATAGAACTTCGCCATTTTCCTTCCTTGTGTAATGTAGAGAAGCTCCAGCTCTTGATGCCTAAGTGGGTTTTGATAAGAAAGAAAGATTAAAAGAGAATGGTATTTATTCTCTTATAATGGTGTAGGAAATAATGTACATGAGAAGCCTTTATATAGACTTAGAGGAGTAAAGGAGCCTAGCATTCTTCCTATGTGGGACCAAAGAGAAAGAAGAGATGTAAAGGAAAACCTAAAAAACTATACAACATGTTCTAACACCCCCCCTCAAACTCAAGGTGGATCAAATAACGAGAGTTTGGAAAGAAGAAATTTAAATCGTTGTGATGTAAGAGCCTTCGTAAAACAATCGGCAAGTTGATTCTCAGTTCCAACAAAAGGAAGTGAAATAGTGCGAGCTTGGAGATGATGACGAGTCAGATGACAATCGATCTCAATATGTTTGGTACGCTCATGAAAGACTGGATTTGCACTGATACGAATGGCACTCTTGTTGTCACAATGCAGAGGAGTAGGATCCAGAAGTGAAACTCCCATATCAGCAAGTAAGCGGCGAAGCCAAACAATCTCAACAGTAGTGTCGGCCATTGCACGATACTCGGACTCTGTAGAGGAGCGTGAGACAATATGCTGTTTCTTGGAACGCCAAGAAATAAGTGAATCGCCAAGAAAAATGCAATAACCAGTGATAGATTTGCGATCAGTGACATTGGAAGCCCAATCAGCATCAGAATAGGCACGCAACTTGAGAGCAGAAGAGGATGATAGAAATAAGGAACGCGATAAAGTGCCTCGAAGATAGCGCAGAATAGTTAGAACAGCCGCATAATGAGTTGTTCGAGGAGAAGCAACAAACTGACTGACAACATGAACAACATAGGCGATGTCGGGTCGGGAGATAGTAAGATAAATAAGACTGCCAACCAAGGTCCGATAGCGGGTGACATCAGAAAGAGGTTCTCCATCGTCTGGGCAAAACTTTTGATTTAGCTCAATAGGAGTGGCAGCAGTATGTGAATCTGATAGAGTAGCCCTGAACAGAATATCAGCGGTATATTTCTGCTGAGAAATGAGAATATCACGTGAACTGCGAGCAATCTCAAGCCCAAGAAAATAACGCAGTGGTCCTAGATCCTTCATGGCAAAATGTTGCTGAAGGTGCCGCTTGGTATGCTCAATATGGTCACGATCATCTCTGGTGATGACCATATCATCAACATAAAGAAGAAGAATAGTGCAGCCTGAAGAAGATGTATGAACAAACATAGCATGATCAGCCTCACTTTGAATGAAACCAAATAGATCGAATAGCATCACCGAACTTCTCAAACCAAGCACGAGGGCCCGTTTGAGACCATAAAGAGCCCGTCGCAAGCGGCAAACCTGTCCAGAGGTATGAGCAAGACCAAGCGGAGGTTGCATAAAGATATTTTCCTGAAGATCACCGTGAAGAAAAGCATTCTTCACATCAAGCTGAAAGAGAGGCCAACTGCGAATTGAAGCAACAGCTAATAAAGCGCGGACAGATGTCATCTTTGCTACGGGAGCAAAGGTCTCCTCATAGTCGATACCATACTCTTGCGAGAAACCTCGAGCAACCAGACGAGCTTTGTAACGCTCAATACTGCCATCAGAACGAGTCTTAATCTTATATATCCATCGGCAAGATACGAGGGAGCGACCTGGAGGAAGAGGCACAAGCTCCCAAGTACCAGTACTCTCCAAAGCCAAGAGTTCCTCAGACATAGCCTGGTGCCATTCTACATGCCTAACTCCCTCGCGATAACTATTAGGTTCTTGTACAGCATGAACAGCAGCTAAAAATGATCCAAACTCAGTAGAATAAGAAGTAGCAGCAACATACCGGGCAGGTGGACGCCGATCTCGAGGAGGATTACGGCGTAGCTCTAGTTGTGCAGAATCGTCGAGGGCAGATACAACATGAGGTGCAGCACAAGGGATAGGTGAAGATGGAGAAGGTGGCAATATATCTAGATCCGATGTAGAAGAGGGACTAGAACGATCAGGTAGAGGATCAACAGGACAATCCATAAATGGAACAGGAGACGAAATATGAGGTGTAGTATTTGTTGAAAAGAAAGGGATGTGTTCATGAAACGTAACATCACGAGAAATACGTACACGTTGCGCATTTGGGTCATAACAACGATAACCTTTGTACTCAGTGCTGTAACCCAAGAATGCACATGGGATAGAGCGGGCGGTAAGCTTTGTATGTTCAGTGAGTGGAAGAATGACAAAACAAGTACATCCAAAAACTCGAAGATGATTATAGCTAGGAGGTCGAGAGTAGAGACGCTGAAACGGGGTGTCTTGATGGAGAACAGATGAGGGTAGACGATTAATTAGATGAACAGCCGTGAGAAGAGCCTCAGCCCAGAACTCAGTGGAAACGGATGTGCCAAGTAAGAGAGCTCGAGTGGTCTCTAGAATATGACGGTGCTTGCGTTCAGCAACTCCATTTTGAGCTGGAACCCCAGACAAGATAACCGAGGAAGTGTACCATCACTAGCTAAGAGGGAACGAAAGACACCAGAGAGATATTCTCCCCGAATCCGAACGGAAAACTTTGATTTTTGTATTAAATTGTGTGGAAACCATGGAAGTAAAAGACTGATAGATGGTACAGAAATCACTACGTTGACGCATAAGATAGACCTATGTATAACGAGAATAATCATCAATAAAAGATATATAATATTTGAAACCACTCTTGGAAGAAAGCGGGGCAGGACCCCAAACATCAGAATGAACAAGATCGAAGATCGCACTAGTTCTAGAGTTACTAACAGGAAAAGGCTTAGAAGATTGCTTGGCCAAAGGGTAGATAGAACATGGAGGAAGACTACCAGAAGAAATAGGACCCAAAGCACCTTGTTGGTGAAGGACGGTGAGACGAGAAGACCGAATATGTCCAAGACGCTGATGCCACCGAACAAGATCGAGGGTAGCCAACACAAGATGAGGAAGAGAGGAAGTTGGAAGATGGAGATGTTGCATAATATAAAGTCCATCCCGTCTACTGCCCCTGCCAATCATCTTGCCACTCAAACGATCCTGCACAAAGCAAGAGCTATTTGTAAAGCTTACAGTACATCTAGCATCGGTGAGTTGTCAAATAGATAATAAATTGAGAGCCAAAGAGGGAACATGTAACACATCAGGGACATTGAAATCTTCAGAGACAGTAAGAGTACCCTGTCGGGTAGCTAGTAGAGGAGAACCATTAGCAGTAAAGAAATGTGCTGGTTGCTTGAGCTCAGAGAGCTTAGTGAGAAAAACAGCGGAAGTAGACATATGTCTAGCAGCTCCTGAGTCAAGTACCCAAGTAGTAGAAATATCACCTGAAGGTGGAGTAGCTGCAGCGGTGCTTCCAGCAGATGAGAGAGTTGTAGAAGTACCAGAATCGGGAAAAGACCTGGGCAGAGAAGGACTCAAACGGGCAAGTTGGGCCTCAAGAGCAGCAATACGGTCATTCGTAGAGGGAGAAACCAGAGTAATAGGTTGAGAGATTGGAGATGCGGTAGTGACTCGTGGTGATGCAGAAAGGCGTGAAGCATTCCTCTTCTTCCAACAATGTGACTCGTCATGACCAGGACGATGACAATACGTACATGAAAGGCGGCGAGGACCACGAGTAGGCGAAGGACGTGGTGGAGCAGCCAAAACTGTAGGCGGAACACGTGGTGGAGCAGACAAAATAGCAGTTGAATCAGAAACTGCCGAGGAGGAAAGAAGACCAAGACGAGTTTCCTCAGACTGTAATTCTTTGATAGCGTCAAGGAGGGATGGTCTTGGAGAGCGGTGAAGAAGTTGGCTGCGAACACCTTCATAGGGAGAGCCGAGCTTCATAAGAAAAGAATGTAGACGGTGCCTATCTTGAGTCTGAAGTCGAGTAGATGGACACCGAGTACAGTTCAGGCATGATGGGTAGAGAATAGGAGCAAGAATATCCAATTGACTCCAAAGTGAGTGCATGTAATTGTAGAAATCTCGAATAGAGCGAGACCCTTGCGTAGCACTGTAAACTTCTTGCTCCAACTGATAAACTCGAATGTCCCCTGTCTGGGTGAACATCTCGGCAAGCTGATCCCATAAACTTTTCGCCTCAACAACATTAGAAAATTGTGGGCGAAGAGCAGGATCAATGGAACCAAAAATGATAGCCCATGCCTTCCGATCAGCAACATTCCATGCTCGAATTTCAGCGGCACGTTTCGTAACTTCATCAGATGATTCACTTTTAAGAGCACCAGGACAAGGACAAAGTCCCTCAACATGCTCAAACAAGTCGCGGTAAACAAGTGCTGCCATTGCCGATGATTTCCAAAGAGAATAGTTTGAACCATCGAGTTTGACGTCAATACGGTCACTAGAATCACCCATGACGACAGAAAAAGAAATCACTAGCAAAGCTAGAAATATGGATTGAGGTGATCGAAAGAATCGAGAAAGAAGAAGCGCGGATTAGAACGAGCAAGGATGATGGCCCAAAAGCCCTAAACTCATTATCTTAATTTCTGATGCGGAAGATCCAATTTATGGCAACCGCAGAGCATTCTTTAAAAGATAATGAGCTCATTGTCTTAATTTCTGATGCGGAAGATCCAATTGATGGCACCGCAGAGCATACTCTTCAAGACAATGATCTTGGCTCTGATACCATGATAAGAAAGAAAGATTAAAAGAGAATGGTATTTATTCTCTTATAATGGTGTAGGAAACAATGTACATGAGAAGCCTTTATATAGGCTTAGAGGAGTAAAGGAGCCTAGCATTCTTCCTATGTGGGACCAAAGAGAAAGAAGAGATGTAAAGGAAAACCTACAAAACTATACAACATGTTCTAACAGGTTTGACCTAACGTGTTGAATCTGTCCACATATAGTAGCCGGGAAAAGGACAAGTGCTATAAATTTCATACGGCGCTCACTTGAGTGCCATAATTTTTTTCCATTACTTAAGTGCCATAACTTATGTACTCAACTTACTCGTGGTGAATGCTTGCAAATATTTATGGCACTCAAGTGATCAATTGAAAATTATAGTACTTAAATGAACGTTTTTTTAGAAGTCATGACAATCAAGTGGTCGAAAAAGGGTTATGAAACTCAACCAAGCGCTATACAAAAGCTATGGCACTTGTGGAGTCTTTATCCCTATAATAGCCATACAATGGTAAAACTTGCGGAGAGTCTTGCATGCGCAGGTTAATGAAATGGCACACACATAACACATGGAAAAAAAAATTCCATTACAAAGAACATTTAGTTGTATGATCAAGTCCGGATCGGGTAAGTGTTCACATTGGCATTTTTTTAAGGTGATCTTGAAGATTTTAGGGATATATGTGGTAGAAGTCCTAAAACTTGTCACAAAAATGCAATTGAGTCCTAAAACTTGCAAAATGTGCAATCGAGTCCTAAAACTTGTCAAATTGGTTCAATCGAGTCCTAAAGTTAAGACTGTTCTAATTTACTAACAAAAAATGCTGACGTGTCTTATTTTATTACTTTTCTTGAGACATGCGGCATCCAACAAGAGCCACGTCAAAAAAAAGTTAAAAAAATATAAAATAAATTAGAAAAATCTAAAAGTTTTTTTAAAAAAAACCAGAGAGCCACAACTAGTGGCTGTGGCGGTGGCCAAGCCCTCGCTGGTGGCCGCCGCCACAGCCGCCGAGAAGGGCCGGCGGAGGTCGCCTGGGCCTTCTCGAAGCCCGGCGACCCACGTCGGCCCCGACGAGGCTCCCTCGAGGGCCTATAGGCCCCGATCTGCGGGAGGGCGAGGGTCGGCGACCTTCCCCCAGATCGGGGCCTCGCCTAGGGCCGGCGAGGGTGGCCGGGCTTCAAAAAGGCCTAGACGACCTCCGCCGGCCCTTCCCGATGGCTTGGCGAGGGCCACCGGCGAGGGCTTGGCCACCGCCACAGCCGCTGGTTGTGGCTCTCTGTTTTTTTTTTTTTTACTTTTAGCTTTTTCTAATTTATTTTATATATTTTTTTAACTTTTTATGATGTGGCGCTTGTTAGATGCCATATGTCTCAAGTAAAAGTAATAAAATAAGACACGTCAGCACCACGTCAGTATTTTCCATTAGTACATTAGACAGTGTTAACTTTAGGACTCGACTGAACCAGTTTGATAAGTTTTAGGACTCGATTGCACCTTTTGTAAGTTTTAGGACTCAATTGCACTTTTGTGACAAGTTTTAGGACTTCTACTGTACATATCCGAAGATTTTATTGGAGATGTCAAACTCATTGACAAGTCTCACCATTTTGGTGACCACAATTCGGGAATCATCTAGAAATATTAACTTCTTTAAAGTAAGAGTTTGGTGGCATAATTCCCATTTGTTATCGTCCCAATGGCCGGTGACGTCAAAGTGCAAGTAATTTGTAGAGCTAGTACCTAAATCAAAACTTAAAGAGACTCGAAAGTAGTCTGTGGTCAGTAAATGCCCCGACGCGGCCCTTTTTTCTTTGTACAGTACTTTGCAGTTTCTGTTGTTTGTTGTCTACAAAATGAGCTTCATTTAATGTTACAGAGATGTCTACATGTAGCAGACAAAGTCGAGATCTTTGGCGAAGCTAGAGGATTGCTCGGCGATAAGACAATTAAATGTAAGCTCCGACTAATTCCTTGACATATAGTACTTGAACAGGTTTCTAGTATATGGCATTGTACTTGAAGAGCTCCCCGCAGTTCTGGACACTTCTGTATCATATCTTGCTTGGTGTCTCTTCAAGTGGTCCGTCCCACTTAACGATTCTTGACACCATTAACATCAGTCTTAAGCCGAAATGTCCTCAGGTTCTTTGCTTAGCCGTCACCACAGTGGCTTGGGGTTTTTTCTTGTGGTTAGGGGTTAGGTTTGGAAATCATCTTGGCGGGGATTAGCTTGTGGCGTTTGCCCTTGCAATTCTTCCCGATTGTCGGCTTGTTGTGTCTCGTCGTTGTCGAATTTGGCTTGTTGCTGAGATGAAACTGGCATGTAAGCGTTATCGCCGGCACGTCGCGAAACTCACTGAATAAGTCCCACGATAATTGCACGGTGAAGTCCGGACTGAGTTTGGATGGTAAGAAATAGTTGTTATTGTTCTCCATTATATTATTTAAATCGCGGTTAAGTCGTCATAAGGAGAAAGAAAAAAAAAATGAAATCGAGCAATAGCGTTAGGAAGTGCTATGATCCAGTGACGCAATCTTTTGAGCTGAGGCCCCAAAATAGAGTTAATGTTGGGCCTACGTGTCCCATGACCACCTGAGCCCAACTTTTGGATTCGGCCTCCAAGTCCGAATCCCAAAAAATGGAAAGACGAGCCGGGCCCAGCCCATTAGGGCCCATGGGCCCAACTCAGCCCAATTCCAACCAGGCCAGGGTCGGGCATTTCTGATTTAGTCATCTGCCCATGAAACGCCCGCACCCTAACCCCTTTAAATATTAAGTGAAATGCACTTGCCCGAAATTCAAAACCATTTCTCTACTTTTTATTTGGTTCAAAACCGTCTCTTTACTTTTTAAAATGTTTTACCTTCACCATTGGTCATTGCCCTCTCGCCGATGTCGACCACGCTCCTCGTTGCTATGTTGCTCGAATCTAGTGGCCATTGCAACAAACTTGAGCTTTGGGCAGACATGGATGCCGCGAGCTTGAGCTTAGGTGGCCTTGGATGCAGTGAGCTTGAGCAGAAGTGGATCATGGCGATGGTCATCACAAGGGGACATGGACATTGCGAGCTCGAGCTCAAGTGGCCATGACCCATATATATATATATATGAGAGAGAGAGAGAGAGAGAGAGAGAGAGAGAGAGAGAGAGAGAGAGAGAGAGAGAGAGAGAGAGAGAGAGAGAGAGGGTAAAGAAATAAATTTCCCTATCAGTTAATATTTAATGACATCAAGTCTCCAAACCAATTAAGCACATGCATTGTTCATTATGCAAATCAACAAAAAAGAGAGGAGGTATATGGTAAATTCACTCCCTTTAAATTAATATAAAGCGAAAAGAAGATTCATGTCGAGGTTCTATATTGCCTAGTATCCAATAACTGGAGGTGTCTAAGATTTCTCATATGTTCAATATGGAAGTGTAATAGTGTTTGGTTGATCTTGTAATCTGTGTTATGAAGTTCTATACAAATGTAACACAAAATTGTTCATGTGTAAAGATCAATGTGTCAATAGATTGTCTACAAAATCTAACTAATTGGAATCTTCTCGAGAGCGGGAAACACTAGTTTAGCATGGGAGTTCTCGTAGCTAAACCCGAATTTCGAAAGTTATTCACCTAAGCAGCTCATATAGGTAGAGAAAAATCCAATTTACTTCGCTTGCGCTAGTGGTACAAAAAGAGTATCTTGCTTGTTAAATTGGGTTGCTGAAATTAGTTTAGGACTTACAGTTGTTGGATCTTACTTCTCTTGTGGATCATCTTGCAGCCCAACTATTGAGAAGGCCCTCAAGAGTTTGAGAACCCTAGCTCACAGAACTACTCGTTTCATTGTAATCTATGAGGTAAAATTGGTGGCCAAAATCAATTTCTGGGGTCAAAAACCAGAATGTGATGAGGGTCGAATTAGCTTTGTTAGAATATTACAGTGAATTACATATATAGAAGAATAAAAGTATTGTCGAAAGGACAACTTAGCCTTTTTTATTCATGAATTAATTTTGAATAAGAGGTAGATTGAAAAAAGTTTGTGCACTAAAATATTCCACGCTATCTTCATTCTGAAAGCCTTTGCATGAACTCCCCGCCCTCAAAAGTAGAAAGGCATGAAATCTATGGGCTCCTGGGACTATGTATATAGTTTGAATCCCGAAAGGTACGTATAGAAAATGGATTCTAGCATCACATAGTAGATTCACGGCATTCATACTCGGATCGGATCTGATTGAATCAAATGGAAAACTTCGAACCTAGAATGGATGAATTCTGACTGTTCAACACAGAAAGTGTTATATTCCTTATCCTGCCGAAAGGACAATGTTAGTTTTCAGGACATTATCAAGGGGCTGAAAGTGAGAAATGAAAGGTCTCTCTCAAGCTAACTAAATTGACATCTGATCCAATTTGGGCTCCACATTAACCTGTTGAAGCTGTAATAAATTGTCCTAATTACCATTTTGTGCTTTAACTTTATTTTCAATCAGGGTTTGTGTCTCTCACTTCAAAGAGGCTGCTTTCTTCTTCCTTTCTTTTCCCCATAATTTGGTAAATTGTAGGCCAATACAAACAAAAAAGAGACATCTCTTTGCGCACATCTTTTTCATTTGTTCGAGGATTGTGTCAGAATAACTTTTTACGTGTACATAAATCCAAAAGAGAAAGGAAGAAGAAGTCATATGCCTAACCTCTTGTTGAAAAGCATGGAGGAGTTTGTTGTTTCATATGGGTCGATAGGATATACACAGGATTCTCTAGGTGACCACATGTGCAAACTTTGACGTTGATTTCAACCATAAGGACCTCGAAAGAATTTGTTGCCAACGTGAACTTTTGTAGTATGAAATGACAAGTATTTCTTACAAGTTCTCTAAGTTTTTCTTTCATTCCAGATAGGAGGAAACTTTCTTTCAATTTGGCCTTGGATTGATGAGTCAGGGAATTGAAGGAGGAAGACGAGCTTGATTTTTAAGGACAGGAACTGATTGAAGAAGATTGAATGATTTTATCTTATGAGAAGAGTGTTGCAGCTTTTAAAAGTGTTTAGTAAACATCTCAATAGCTGCAGCAACTCCAAAGTTATAGCAGCTTACGATAGCTTTAGGAAACTAACTTACCCGATTTTGAGATACCGTGAGTTTAAAAATGTATAATATACAGCTATAGTTCAACCCAGGGGGTGAGCATGGGTCTCAAATTAACTAGGGAACTGACCTATGCAGGTGAACCAAGCAGGTCCTTCGTTATAAAAACCTTCATATCGGCCAAGGCCGATTCACTTCTCAAGTTAATGCTTTAAAATGCCGTTTGACACCTTACATTGGAAAAATATAAAGCTGCCGCCTTAAGGAGTGGAACCCATGGCCTCATGCTACGAGGTTAGCATGTATTTCCACTCTGCTAACAAAAGATCACTCGACATGAGTTACTATCTTTAATTCGATTTTCACACAATAAACCCAGTTCTTTTGTGTAACTCGGGAACCGAACTGAAATCGACCTAGAACTAATCAGTTCGGTTCCAAGCCAGTTCTAAGTGTAACCACTTCGGTTCCCAATTCTAAAAATTTGGAACCGGGACCCGTAGAGTCAGTTCCAGATTTTGGCATTGGAACCGATCGACCTTGAAAATCATTACCCCTAGTTCAATTACAGCTTTACCAAATAGGCCCTTAGTTAAGTTTCTATATGAGTAATGCCTATAACTTAAATTCTACCCATTAGAAACACTGATTGAAATAAATTATACGCCCTAGTTAGAGGAGGCAGTTGTGAACTCTTTGCATTTCATTGACAGATGGTGTTAGTCTCGTCACCATTATACTAGTTATTACTGAAGGCTTTTAATTCTATGGCACCAGACAACTAGGGCGCGCATGGTAACATTTCTATTTCAAAAATCAATTTCTGGCCATAAATAGATTTTTCTATTTTTATTCCGTGGACGAGTTTCTGAGCAAAAATGTGTGTTTGATAACAACACAAAATTTCTATTTCCGAAATAGAATTCGTTTGACAATGATATAAAATTTCTCCCTTTCGGGCGGCCTGCGGAGGATGGCGGGTGGCGGCAAGGGGCGGAGGACAATGGCCGGCGGTGAGAGGCGGCCGGCCGGTGGCAACGGATGACGGCTGCCGGCGGCGGGCGGCGGCCGGCGTCGGGTGGTGGAGCATGTCGGCCGGCGGCGGATAGCAGTAGTGGTTGCCGGGGGTGGAGGGCGGCCGACGTCGGGAGGTGGAGCACGACGGCTGGCGGTGGAGGACGGCGGTCGGTGGTGGACGGTTGGCGACAAGAGGCGGCCGGCGACGAAGGGCGGCCGATGGCAAGAGGCGGAGGGCGGCTAGCGTCGGGCGGTGGAGCACGGCGGCCGGCTATGAAGGACAGCGGCCGGTGGCGGGTGACGGCTGGCGTTGGGCGGCGGAGGACAGTGGTCGGCGGCAAAAGGCAGCTAGCGGGTGGGAGGCGACCGGCGTTGGGCAACGGAGGACGGTGGTCGGCGGCAAGAGGCAGCCGGCGGGTGGGAGGCTGCCGGCGTCAGGCGGCAGAGGACGGTGGTTGGCGGCAAGAGGCAGCCAGCGTCGGGTGGCAGAGGACGGTGGTCGGCGGCAAGAGGCGGCCGACGAGCGAGAGGTGGCCGGCAGCGGCGAAGGACGGCGGGAGGTGGCGGTGGGCGGGTTGCAGCCGACGTTGGGCGATGGCGAACGACGGAGGATGACGGTGGGAGGAGGCGGTAGGCGGTCGGCGAAGGACGCAGGCGGTAGGCGGCCGACGCCAATAGCGAGTGGCAAGGGGATAACCAGCTAGTAGCGAGTGCAAGCGATAAGAAGAGTTTTTATTTCTCATTTCTGTTCCAGAAATAGAAAAGTAATTTTTTTTTACTTCTGATTTCTGTTCCAAACTTATTTCCGAAATATAAATTTGTTCAAGAAATAGAAAAATGAAATTGCGTTACCAAACGGATTTCTGTTCCAAACCTATTCTCGAGAACAGAAAAATAGAAAGACAGAGAAATAGAAATGTTACCATGCGCGCCCCTAATCTCGTAGTAGTATCTATTAGAAATGTTCCACGAACGTCAAGGATGTTTGCATTTACTCCTCGAATCAAATAGCGAATGACTGGCTATCAAGAATAAGAAGTAACTTCGGAGAAAGATGATCCCAATACAGTAGCATAGCTTTATTTAGTAATAACGACTAATATTTGCGATCGTTATCTCAACAAGTATTTGTGTAGATATTACATGGCAATTCATGCAATGACTATCACCTAAAGCTAATTAAATTGGTATTACATTATGACTTTATTCCATTATCTAGTCGAAACAAGTCAATAATATCCGTCGATCAAACTTCAAAACAGTCCAAACCTCCTTTTGCAGCCTGTTTGATAGCTTTAACATGTGCTAAAAATTAACACATTCAGCATTCAAAGCAATTAAGCCCGTTGGATAACCATAGTTTTTTTACTTAAATTATTTCAATTAAGTAACAAAAACACTTAACTTACTCAGTAAGATTGTGTATTACTTAAGCCATTCAATAATGTAGACATCTTAAAAAGGTATCAAAATCTTACCTATTACCTTGCTAAAAGCCTAAAAGCTACCAATAATATTCTTCATTTCATATGTTGAAAGAGGTCAATGTTACTCAAAACTCGATATCCGGCTCTTGCAAAAACTATCTATACTTTCATGTTCAGCGCTTCATGTTATCGGCAATTAAAATTCAGTAATTAAATTTTCAGCGCTTGTCTTTTCCGATTTTACCTAACGAATTTTCAGTGTGTCAATGATTAGAATGTCTTGAAGTGTAACTGAAGATCTAGACTTTAGAGAGTGCATTTCACAGTGTCCATGCACTACTGGGAAGTGCCTGCAAATGGCCCATTACAAAGATCTCACACTCACGAAAGTGAAGCTCTTCACATCTGCATCAATGACTAAAATGTCTTATGTTTAACTGAAGATCTAGACTTTAGAAAATGCTTTTCACAATCTCTTTGGGATAAAGATTAGAGTTCCAAGTGTCCATGCACTACTGGGAAAGCGCCTGCAAATGGCCCATTACAAAGATCTCACCTCACAGAAAGTGCAGCTCATCACATCTGCATCAGCAGCATCATGTTCTGAAGAGTGACAGGCGCAGCAGCGGAGTGCCGTATGCACCAAAAATGGAATCAAAGCGTCAGGGGAGATGGGTTCTTGAATGGGTTAAAATGGGTGAGATATGGATATCATTGTGGGGATCTTGAAGCACTCTTTCTCCTTCTCTTTCTAGGGTTTTTGTCTTCACTTTATGCAGATATTTGTGTGAGGATTGCTTTTACACGCCAACTATGCTCATGGGCCCGTGGATTAGTGCCTCCGGTTGACTTGGCTACTCGAGATCTTGTGGATTGTGAAGACTTTGTTTGAGAAAAGCTCTCTCCGTTGTCCTTGTCTTATCAGCTTTATCATAAAAGCAGAGGTGGCGAAATGAGTCGGTAACGAATTTTTTAACCCACAATTTGTTAGGCCATAATGTACATGGGTTAATAAGCTTCTATTATATAAGTTGAAATATAGGTTATAAAACAAATCAAAGACTTGAAATGAGTCTAAGGGCTCTAGAATATACCATTTTTGACTCATTTTGATCAATTTGGCGAAATTAAAACAAAGAAGACGCGGGCATTAGATTTTTCGAAAAAAGTAAAAAGCCCTAATTAGAGGACAATGACTGTGAGCCACCCCGTCCTCAATGACGAGTTAGTCACATCCTCGGCCAATAAACACACACACAGAGCTTGATGACCACCACAATGTTGATAGCCTAGATAGCGACCGCCGTAAGACGATTGATCGCGTGCGACGACCACCTCGGAGTGGTTATCGCGATTGCAGCATGCAAATCTACATGAGGCAAATATGCCATTTTTTCCCCAAATTTCTTCCCTTTTTTTGAACTTCTTTGGCCTAATATGTGAGTTGCTAGTTTGCATATATTTGTTAATTTTGTGGAATTTGCCGTTCGACTTTCTATATTTTGCACCGATACTAAAGTGAGGACAACAACACATAGAAGTGGCGATGGCGGTGGCAGTGGCGGTAGCAATAGGGGTACAGGGGTGGCAGTGGTAACTTCACCAATGCACTTTTAATGAGTTATTTGCAAGAACTTGGGTTGGACCTAGGGTTAGCTGCATTGGGTTAGGGTCACTTATAATGTATTGTATGTAAAACGAGTCAATATAAGTTAAAGAGATCAATTTGATCTTTAACCTAATGTGACCCGATCCAAATTAAGTTGGACTTAACCCACTCATTTACCCCCCTTCCCCCCCCTCTCTAAGTACAAGACGTGAGACTAATTTGAAAGAGTTAGGTGGTCATTCCACCATGGGAAATAAAATAAAAAAAGAGGCAGTTCCCTTCGTCTTGGCATGACTAAGGATGAAATGATAACTAAATGACGTGGGATTTCCATCGAATATTTGCCATACATTGTCCCTATGTGGTCGGTCGCTATCATATAGTGACGTTGTTCTGATTCATTCAAGTAATCATACGACGAAACACATATATGAGACACCTCAGTGTATAAACATGTCTTTACATAAAGGAATTACGATTTTATATTGTGATAAATAATCCCGATGTTCACAATAACAACTATATCGAAAGAAACAACGAGCTCCAATGGGGGCTGATAAGGAGATAAATGGAAAGAGTTCTTTTAAAGTACCTTGGAAGTTAGTTGGGAATGGTGCCATTTAGGAAAGTGTTAAAGAGTGTTAATTAGGCATCGATCGAGCTAAAGGGAAGATTTCGGATGGGGATGAGTCTAGGCGGATCGGAGCGATCAGCAGAAAGATTAGTCACGTACACTCGTCATGACAGAGAGTCAAAGATTATTGCTGCGCCGGATCAGGAATGGATAATATCATCGGATAAGGGTAGAGACGATTACTTGAGCGATCAATGAAGACTTTGGAGCGGTTATGGATGACAAGTATAAAAAGGAGATTCGGACCAAGAAGAGGCACACGCAAATAGTCATTTGAGTTGTTCATTTTCCTTAGTCGATCCAACCTTTGCTGTTGTTCTTTGGGAAACATTTGTGCTATCGTTAATGAATTCACTTTGATTAGTATGAGAACCCAATCATCAAGTTCTTGTTCCTTTCTTAGTGCACAATTGTCTGTCAATATGGAAGAATGAGGACTATGATGTTTTGTTGATCAGTCAAGGCACGATAATTTCCATTGTCAAGTTGACAATTTGAGGAAAGCGATTTTCAAGCGAACAGTCAAGAAATTGTGCTTTGGATTAAATATGAACATTTCTGTTTGGAGCATCTTACTTTTTTGAATTCATAAGTTATGACCAATTAGCAGTCTTAACTAGTGCCCTTGGAGCATTTGGGACACTAGTCAATGAGATCTTTTACCTTATACGGATGAGAGAAAAAAATAAGCTAAGTTTCATGAGATTCTTGAGCCATCAGCTTAGACAAAATTGGTCAAAGATAATATTTGCTGTAAACTTCGAGTGCAGACTCTCCTGGTTTACCTATGCATATCCATGCACTCCATTAAGATAGTTGGCTTAGCGGTAAAGGGCCACTTGTCTTTCACTAGATCACAAGTTAGATTTACGTCGTGAGTCTATCTCTAAATAGCTCGTGCTACGTTATCTAACTGCGGCATATACCTCGTGTGGAGAGATTTTCTGACTGTTAACATCTTGGCGAAGGTTATGATAATTGGTTCGCCAACTTCAGACCTTTGGGTTACGCGTTATGCGAATTATTACTTAATCCGAATATTCCGTAACGGTAGTCAGATCCTTAAGGGAACTCTCAAAGTGGGTTGCCAATGCCATTTCGAGTCGATAATGTCCCAACGCCTCAAAATTAACTGTGCCTACATGAGGTTGAGGGGTATTTGGCTTTGATAAGAGCTGCTTGTAAAACTAGCAATTGAATAGGGCATTCGTCCGAAAGGGGAAGACAATCATGATTTTGTGGCGTCAAGGAAAGAGACATCTATAAGAAAGATCCTCTTTGAAAGCACGGTTTGCTCATGAGGCTATTGCATCTTTTCCATATCTCACTTTTTTGCTAAATGCTTTGCCTACCTTCTTATATGTACGTTATGGATAGAGTTTTGCCGACTTCAGACTAGAATCCAAAAAGGAGCGACGTCGAAAACCCTAGCAACATGGATTTCTTTATAGGATAGAGATAGGAGATGTGAGCATGGCCGCACTATTTAGTGCTTTGAAGGAAAAGGCGGAAGCGACGGCACCGTCGAGGCTGGCGGAGTGCGGCGGGGGTGGACGTGGGTGGGTAGGGGGGCATGGCTGAGCAAAGCGGGTGATTGAGAGAGAGAGAGAGAGATTCTTTAATTGTGTTGTATTTGCGGGGATGAAAGTCATTATGTTGTAAATATTTTTAAGAACCCTCGAATAAGAGTTTCCTCCAATAAGGGAAGCAGGAAAGTTTAACTACTGTTGTTAATTAAAAGGTCATAAGTTTGCCAACTTCGAAAACAAATTTTATTCGGTCATGCTTGAGCACAAAGTGAACTTTTGAATGTTGTTTTGCTTTCCTTTAATGGTGTCAGAATTTCTAACCTAAAAGTTTAAACTGTTAGGTGAAAGAAAATTATATGCATGTAAAAGTCATTGTTTAAGCAATGTGGGAGAATTCTTTAGCAGTCTTATCTCGT